GCAACAAAGTTATTCCTCAAACACTTCCCGGGGCACTGCTTTATTTTTCTTCAAGTTTTTCGATATATATTTCTTTTTAAAGGCATTCTCCCATGATTTAGAGTCGATCGGATTTTAGAATTTCTAATAAGAAGAGATTCAAAGGGAGTTGAAAGTTACGCTCACTAGACAATTAGATTGAAGGGGGTAATAAAAATTCGTTGGAAGAAGTAACTGCATATTAAGCAATAATGTTTCAATGAAAATTTACAGCAAGCAGCGCTTCTCATATTGTTAAGCCTCAGAGACTTTGACTTGGCTGCCAAAAATCAGGCTCGGAAAGAATTACACACTTTTGGTCTATTACACTTACTAGTCAGCAATGGACAACGACGCAATATCAGGCTTTTTTTCTGATTGAAGATTTGAAGTTTCGATGTGACAGGTGTGAACTATTCGTTAAAACTAGTAATCTAGAGTGGGGGGTAGTTATCTCTTAGCAGCAGGACACCCTGTAGGATTTTCCATCTCACATCGGATTGGGAGGATTGGGTGTTTGGGTAGATAAGTCCCTCGCAGGACTTCAAAAGTTGCCGGCTTTTGAAGTTACTGTGGGGATTAGGTTTATTTGCAAAAACAATCTTACTTTCGTAAGAAAATGTTGGAAACAAGTAATCTAGAGTGGAAAATAATCTCCAAAATTCATATATATACTGAATTTTGATCTGTGTTATGCACAGATTTATATTTTAATTCAAAAAAAATGTATACATATACATTGAAGTTCTTGATAGAGGATATGAAAAGAATTACAAATTTCAAAGAAGTTGTGCTTAACATGTTCAAAAAAATTACTTCGTGAGTACAAAATGGACTTTCTTGATTTTAACATCTTAAATAAATTGAAATCAAAATTTTTTTACACATTGTCTATCAATATAAGATAAAAATTTGAATAAAATAAAATAATTTATAATAATTTACATGATAGAGCAATTGAAAACCTATTTATCAATAGCCGACGAAAGATATCATGTTATATTGACATATCAAAAATTATAATATAAAAACATAAATTATAACTAATTCATTTTTCTCGATTTTAGAAAAAAATTTCGCCCATCTTGTACCCTTAAAATTGTTGAGTGCTTTATAGAATAGTGTTTTTCATGTAGTTTAATATAGATTACAAAAAAATCTTTGTAAAATACAAAAGCAATTTTTTAAATTATTAAAAACTATTACCCTTTCTGTCCTTTTTTATTTGCCAACTGACTATCCGCTGCCTCCTATGACTTTCGCAAGTCCTATCGCAATGTCATCCTTCCTATCGTTTTTTGTCATCTTTGTCATATTCGCGTAATTCCCTTATTTCTTCCCTCCTTTCTTTGCCCAATCTTGTTATTCACTTTCTTTTTTTGACTTTTCTCATCATTCTTTAATTCCTCACCATTTTCTTTATGTCTGCCTCTAACTTCCTATTCTCATAACTTAATTTTTTATCCCGTTCCCCTTATCATTCTCCCAAACACTTGGATAGGCCCTAACCTCTATCCTGCATGGCCAACCTTCTCCATTCCCACTTCCTCTGCTTCTCCCTTTTTCTTTTACCCGTCCAATCAGAATAAAGTAATATCAAAGTTTTTCATTCTAGATATATTACGTTATAAAAAATCTAAAGTTTTCTTATACATTTATAAGAATTACATATGTATAAATGTATATAACTGCTCTATGTGTGTTGAAATTTTCCTTTTGTAGTAATTGTGATTAGCATTTTTCACATCTATTGGTCTGAGAGTCCAAATTTTTTTTATTTTTATTGAAAATATAACTTAACATATTGTCAATGTTACACTATTGCAAAGTGAATTTGGTGAGTAAAATATAAAAATAAAAATTCAATACAAAAGTATAAAACACCAAATTTAATTATTTTCATATACATTTTGAATTGAATAATTTCAAATTTTAAAGGAGAAGTTGAATCCATATTCTATTGTTATGTTTTTTTTATTTTTGGTAGAATTGGTGTTGTTTTTATTTTTTTTGTCAAAAATAAAGATTTCAAACAAAATTTTCCATATCCAAATGGTAAGTAGTACTTTGTTAATTAGTTAGTGATTTCATAATTTAGGTTTCATGAATGGTATCATTCTTGAATTTTTAAATCCATGAACAATGAATATTATTTTCTTTTCATTTTCTATATAATTTGCCCTCTTAGTTAGAATTACGAAGTTGAAGACAAAATATTATTATTTACTTTTTACTTTTAGTTGTTTTGGTGATGTTTCCTTTTTATTTAGACTTACATTAATAGATTTCAAACCAAATTCCTATATAAGTGGAGCCACTTTTTACTTTTTAAATTCAAAAAGCATGAAAGGACATATAACAATTTTTAAAAAAATAAAATTCTATAAACAAAACGAAAAGTTGGAAACATTTTGATTTAACCATACTAAAAACTTCTTCTCAAATTTATATAGATATAGATTCTCAAATACAATTAAAAAATAAAAATAAAAATAAAATAATTCCTACCACTATCCACTGCTGTCTAACACTATCACCACCCTCTCCCTCCTCTCTCCTCCCTCTTTCTCTTTCTCTTCATCCTCCCTCCTTCCTTCTCCTCCCTTCCCCTTCCCTCCTTTCTTCTTCTCCCTTTCCCTACCCTCCTCTCCTCTCCCTTCTTTTCCACTTGCAGAACCTTCTCCCTCTTTTATAAAAGGGTTGAGACCTTCGATAGCAATCATATCTCATTAGATAGGGTTGGTAGCAACTTAAGCATCTCATCGTAGAAAGGGGAGTGGTCTGGGTTAGGGTCACACTTGGATAAACCAATTTTTCAATAATTCAATGACCCAAATTGTGCTATACCATCTCACCAAATGATGTGGTACAATATAGATCATTGGGTTTTTGAAAAACGGGTCTACCCAAGTTTTGACCCAAGGGTGAAAACAGGGAGGGGAGGGGAGGGAGGAGGAAGGAGGAGGAGAGAGCGGGAGAAGAGAGAAGAAGGGAAAGAGTGGTAGCGATGGTGGTGGGTGATTTTTATTTAATAATAAAAAAAACCCTGAGAATTTTAAAATTTTAAAAACACCTCAACAAACAACTACAATAGATGATGAAAACAGTTCCAAAAATACCTAATCCATATAGATTTTTTTTTTTAAATTTCTCTTCCTCTCAACGTTCACAGTGGCCCGTCCTCCTCCTCCATAATCTCCTTTTTAATATTAATTGCCAATTACCAAACTTTCTCTTGACCTCTTTCACACAAACCCAAAAAAGAGATCCATCATGTTATTTGACGTTTTTGATATGTCTTTATTCAAATATGTCTCTTTGATTTGTCACTACTTTGATCAATGGAATTGGAATTAGAGAAGGGATCTATGGAAAACTATAAATAGCGACAGGTCAGGTAGGATGGTAGAATATCTTCTTGTTTTTTGCTATGTTTGTTATACCTGGGCATTTGAGCCCAGAAAATGTATGTCCGTGAGTTCTAAATTTACTATCCCTTTAATCCATTTGATTTGGCATGAGTGACAAACTTTTAGCCGGAACAAGTTGCCTTACTTTATTCAAGGTGCAAAAGCGATCATGTGTGCAAGAAACTTTCTCTTGACTTCTTTTTTTTTTTTTTAATTATACATATGAAAACGTAGTGGACAAAAAGTCCCAGTGGTGATTTGATTTTTCCTAGAAAGAAAGTCTCGGAACTATTTGGTGCATTTTTGTAGAGATATTATATTCCATTGAGTGATTAGCTTTATAATTTCTTGACAGGTTTTTAAAACTTTTTAAGTTTTTTGAATGATTTATTAATCGAAGAATTTTTTATACAGTTTAGGAAATTTTTAGGAACAGGTTGATGTTTAAACAAGTTCACAAGTACGATAAGACTATATGGATGCTAGCCTCAAAATTTTCCTCCAAACATTACAAAAGATATTAGAAATTGGCTTTAAGTAGATGTGGTTACATATGTGACTTTCGATGTGCGAAGGTATTACAACTAGAGGTGGCAAAATGGGTTATTTGGGTAGATTTGGGTTGGGTAAAATGGGTAATGGGTATAAGTGAGTCAACCCATTTATATCCATTTAATTAGATGGGTATAAATGGGTATGTCAAAAAATGAGTTGGGTAACCCAATTATCCATTTATAACCCATTTATTCTAATTTTTTACAAACTCATATAAATTCATTTTGTAAACTAAATTATCAATCATCATTAATTTTAAATATTTACTTATTATGCCAAATAAGTCTAATTGTCAATTTTTTTTCCATCCGCGTGCTATGTTGCAAAATTATATATTATTTAATAATTGAACAATTAGAATCTAAAAATTTGGACTAAATAATATGAAAGTTCACATAAAAATTTAATCCAAAACTTTGAACACCTAGTATTTTTTCGTGTATAAATTTAAATTTTCATTTTGAAAAGGTAAAAAAGGAGGCTAAAATTTGTCATAAATTAGTAATGCTAAAAAATGATCACATTAATAAATTACGAGGAAATAAAGCGATAAGACAAAACCAACAAATAAATAAAATAAAAATAGTTAACATAAAAAATGGTTAAAAATCCTGATGAGGATTAGCAATCACTTCATTTAGCATACAAACAAAGATAAATTTTCAATAAATAGGAATAAATGATAGAACGGTGAAAGGTTACATGGCCAAAACTTCTTGCCAACCTTCAGTACTAGAATAAACAATAGCTACTTGAATTCCCACAAATTGGTAGACGAAATAAATACAATTACAATCCATGAAACTTTTACAATTTAATACTCCTACCAAGGATTGTAACAAAAAGACTTAACAAGCAAGTTAATACTTCAAATTTGCAACAAAAAATCCTCTTCTCAGTTTTCAAAATCCAGGTGGAGCCAACTCTATCAAAATACTTAACAAACATTCAGCTTCTCAAGCTTCGTACAACTGCATAGCATAAAACTCCTCTAGCTCACTGTTGGAATCCGCCAACAAGTTTGCTGCTGGCTCAACACAAAACAGAGAAGATTCCTGACAATCAAAACCAAATTCAAAGTTTTGTTTTTTGTTACTTAAATTTCATCTAGACAGAAAGATAAAAAAATTTTCACCACATTTCTAACAATCTCCATATATCAAGACAATCAACAAACAAAAATTTGCAATCAGGCTCAGAATTGTGAAGTGTGAACGGACAGGGAAGGGTTGATACTGCAAAAGTCAACTCTAATCTACTAGCATATTTCCTTATGCAGCTAAACAGAACTTACAAACAAACATCAAAAAATCCTTTTCATACTAAATCATCAAAACTTCTTGTTGTGATGATCATAAGAATACAAGTTACCTAAACATGAAGGTTAGTAAGTTTAGCAACTAAAGGTGCAAAGTCAATACTCAGTCTTTCTCTATCTTCTTCATCTTCAGAAGCTGAAATCAAAAGTAAAGTTCAATAAGTGACTAAAAAAGTAAAATACAAGATCATGTGCACAAAAAGGTTAAGTATAACATACATGTTACTCCATATAACCAGTCCCTAGTACATAACAAGACCTCCACATTTTCTGGTAGGAGCGAAGTACGAAATTTACCCACAATTCTACCACCACTACTGAAAGCTGATTCCGAGGCCACTGTAGTGATAGGAATACTTAAAATATCCCGTGCCATCAAAGAAAGAATAGGGTACCGATTTTTGTTTTCTTTCCAAAAATTGAGAACATCCAGTTCTTGAGTTGAAAGGAGTCGAGTATCATCCAAATAAGAGTCTACTTGTGACTTATTCCTCTTGTTTGCATGTTGTTGACTCTCAAATTCAGCAAAATCATCATTGTCATTGCCCAAATCACCACTAGAGCAGCCCGCTATTGATCCATCCAGCAAATCACCATCAAAAGTATTCTCATACTCCTCAAATAGTAAATAAAATTTATCCCAAACTTCCTTAGCACGTTCTTCATAATCAAAAGGATACAGCTTCTTAAAAGCATACACCACATAATCCATTTTGAAGCGCGGATCCAAAATGATAGCAAAACTCAAAACCAACCTATAACATTCCCAATACTTCTCAAATTTCAGTTTCATTTGCTTGGCCATTTCACTCTAAATTATTGACCTCTTCCGTGATAACTTTTTGAATTTTCCAGACACCATGAAAATACAAATTTGCAGTTGGATAGTTAGTCCCCGAAAAAAGGGTGGTCAGGTCATAAAAAGGCCTCAGCAGTGTTGTAAATTTCTGCACCCTAAGCCATTCTTCTTCAGTTGGGTAAAATCTGCTGAAGCTGCGATCAACCACGTGCAACTGATGAAAGGCAAGCTTATATTCAAGTGCACTATCCAGCATCACAAATGTAGAGTTCCATCTGGTTGGGACATCTTGATGCACCCTCTTATTGCATGGCAAAGAAACTTGAACAATACACTCTGCAAATTTCAACTTTCTTGATTCACTAGCTCTGATATATTTCACACAGTCTCGGATCTTTGAGACTGGTTTGGAAATAACTTTGACACCGTCTTGGACAATCAAATTTAGCACATGTGCACTGCATCTTACATGAAAAAATTCACCCTCACAAAATAGTGTATTTCTTAGCCTCAAATGCTGCTTCAACAGATTCACCATACCATCATTGTAAGATGCGTTATCCAATGTGATAGTAAAAACTTTTTTTTCAATAGCCCAATCTCTCAATAAATCTATGACTTTTTCAGCTAACATTGGACCACCATGTGGTGGTGGCATGTGGTGAAAATTTAGAACCCTCTTTTGTAAAATCCAATCTTCATCCACGAAATGAGCCGTCAATGCCAAATACCCATCTGTTGCAATAGATGTCCACAAGTCTGCAGTAAGGCAAATTCGACTTGAAATTGAATTTAATTCTGTCTTTACTCTCTCTTTTTCCCTTTTGTACATCTTTTCAATATCAGCCTTTATTGTGTTTCTCGAAATGGGTAAAGCATCTGAATTTAAGTACACGCACAAGTCTCGAATTCCTTCTTGCTCCACCAATCTATAAGGATGGTTATGCTTAACAATAGCAATTGCCATCTTTTCCCGATAAATTCCTTGGTCAATTGGAGACCGTTCTTCAAAATCAGATTGTCCACGCTTAGTACAATTTGAAAGATGACGCCATAAGTTGCTTGTTCCGGTTGTTCTACCACATGCATAATCACACTTGCACCATTTACATTGTGCTCTTTGTGAACCATCTGGTTCAACATACAATATATCAAATTCCTTCCAAATCAATGACGTGAGCTGTCTCGAACGCTTAGAAGAACCTTGGATCAACTCATCTGTATTGGTAGGCTCATGGCTTGTATAAGAACATTGTTCCTGAATGTGCTCTGACAACTCATCTGTTGGATCATGAAGGGATAGCATTTCTGTTATCTATACTACCAACTTTGTACACCTCATCTGATGTTTTCCTGTCTAAGACTCTCAGCCTTCATATAACTTGTCATGACATTGTAGCTCAAACTCTAATTTTCTGAACCTTTTGACAAGTGCAGCTGAAGAAACTACTTCAAAAGAAACTGAAGACAGGAAACCTTCACTAGCTATGCAAAACTTGAAATTTATTCAGCATGTAAAGTAAAGTACTACCTACTAGTATTTTGAAAAAATAGTAGTAGTGCTACTAGTATTTTGACAATAAGATGCAGAATAAACCACGGCTGACTTTACAAATCAAATTGAGCAATCAATCAGCTACTCAGACGCGTGCTATGCAACGCACATCCATTTAAACTATTTTAGATTAGTAATATAACCATGTAGGATGAATCCTGAATACCAGTGATTGCTGTCCATTTAGATTATAAAGAGTACTAATGAATGGTTTTATGAGAAACAAGACAATTTTATAGTAGATTCAGAAATCCTAGAATTTTCTGAACCTTTTGATTTCCCGATATAAACTACAAAATTTCTTCTTATAAATCTTAATTAGACTGCCGGCTGCCCTCGTAGTAAAGCCGCATCTCTGACCATAAGCAAGAAAATATGTGAAAGAACAATTGAGAACCCCAACTTGATTGACAACCTATGGTTCAGCACTTTAGCCAGACTCCAAATCTTCTACAAAAATAAGGATCATCAGGAAGTGACATTTGGAATGCATTACAACCATGCCAAGTTAGCAAAGACTTCACGTATCAATTTCATGATTAGTCAGAGACCCCATTTTGCATTTTTGTGCCTTCAAAATTCCAAAACAAATCGCTTCAGTTTATTGTTACTTTGAAATAGTCTTAAGAGTCCCGACATCAGATAAGAGGTGGTTGTGTTGTGGGTACCTGTTTGCAGAGGTGGTGAGCAGCGGCCAGACTCTTAACATTCTCCAGGAAAATCTTCAAGACACCGCGAATTTATTCATAGATTAGCTCAGGAATCGGACATGGAAGGGGCAAAAACCTTCTATTAAGCAGAGACGGGGAGAAGGGAGAGGGGAATCAAACACTGGAGGAAGAGGGGGGGGAAGCAGTGGGCTTGCTGATGGGGAGGAGAAGAAGATTGACGGTGAAAACTGAAAATACAAAGAAGTTTGGGGATGTAAGTTAAATGGGTTAATTGGGTTTGATGGGTTACCCAATTATACCCATTTAATAAATGGGTATAATTGGGTAACCCATTTATACCCATGTATAAAAATTTAATGTACCCATATCCAATTATTAATGGACGGGTATAGGTAAAATTAATTAAATGGGTTTATTTGACACCTCTAATTACAACCTGTCATGGCAATGTAACGTAATGATTATCTTATTGTCTTAACTTTGTAAGTGTATAATTATTGATTATAATTTTGGGCATGCCTCGCACTTTGTGCATAAATTATTGCAATACTTGTGGACATGTGTTTGAAATGCTTTTAGTTAAAAATTGTGGTTAAAATAACTAATGAATGTAAGTATCAATACGACGTACTTCTATGGATTCTGAATTTTTTTTGTGCCTCCCCTTCATATTAGAACCTAATTTCCAAGAATAAGTGATTAATTGTTATAATGTTCATGTATGTAAAAAATTTTATCTCAAAATCTAAATAATTTTATATAATAGATATTTCATTTCGAACTGGATTGATAATCTGTTGAAATGTACAAAGAAAAAAAGAAAGAAAATATATGTTAGCTTGTCAATCTAATTTACATATAATATAATTGAGTGTTTAATAATTAATATATGTGAAATAAAGGGAAAGAACTCAATTTGAGACCATGTAGTATGCCCAATTTGAGACCAACTATAAATCCAAAAGAGAAGAAAGATATGAGAAACTAGTGGCATTATAAAACAAAGAAAATAAAAAAATGAAGTAAAAGAAATTTAAACAGTATTTGTAATACACGTCTAAAAACAATTTTGATCTAATTCATTTATATTTTTATCTAAAACTCTTAATAATATTACTTAAAACTTAAGAAACTATAACAATTCAAACTCTAAATAGTGGGGACAAAAATAATGCAAAGTAAAAACTGTTGGCTGAAGGTAAATTGATTTTGACCATGAGAATTATTGAATTCTTGTCTATTGTCCTAAATTTGGAGAAAAAAAAAAGGAGAAATTTTGGAGGCCAAATTTATTTTGATCAAAACAGTTGGGCCTAATACTGGATCAGAAAACTGAACTTCTCCCAATAAAGTTTACAATTTGATATGCATTTTAGGTGATATTGACTTTTTCTTTTGTTCATTTCAAGAGGACGGGGTGCAAATGTCATTTCCTATTGTCGTCAAATGTATAATAGAAACCATTACGTGGAATCTGACAATCATAGCTTCAAAACACTGGTGAATCCATTAACGACTGTTAAAAATTACAACATTTTCTATATATGAAAGATTTGGGATTGCAGCTTGACCTGCAATTACATCACCACAACTCTGCTGGAGGGTTCCGAATTCCAAACTTATTTATTCAAAGTCAAAGGTTATCGAACCAGTGAGGCTGTTATTACCCAAGCCTAAATAGTCCAGACCTTCCAAATGAAACAATGACCTTGGAATGCTTCCGGTGAAGTTATTGCTGTTGAGGTTGATGTGTCCCAAGCTTGGGTAATTCATCCAACAGTCAGGAATTTCTCCTGATAGAGAATTCTCCCGAAGATCCAGATACAAAAGAAATTGATTTTCATTCTTCACTTCACACAAAATGTGAGAGATGCCTCCTGAAAATCAATAGTTGGAAATTAAGTTCTAAATATGTCAATCAATGATAAATTAATTGGGTGTGTAAGCAATTGAATATCTTTGATTGTTGTGTGCATATAAATCTTTTAACAGTTTTAGAGATATTTGAACTTTTACTATAAAATTAATTGTGAGAAATGATGGGTTGAATAATCAAGAGGGAATAGCCATTGAATGTGTTTGACTATAATGCACATATAAACCTTTAACAATTCAGAGACATTTGAACTCTTACCCTGGAGTTGATTGTGAGAAAGGTCTATGGTTTGCAATGATGAATTGAACAACCAAGGTGGAATGGTATCTGAAATTCCTGTGAAGGACAAGTTCAAATCCTGAAGGAATTTTTGTGATCTGATCCATGTAGGAAATTGGGGATCCAGCTTCCATGAACTCAATCCAAGTACATAAAATTGGACATGAGGAGTCCAACTTGCACTTACTTTTAAGGTCAAGGAGTTTCCAGATGCATAAAAAATCCTTAAAGCTGTCAGATTGTCCAGGTGGCTCTCACTCACAATACCTTCTATTAAATTATCAGCAATACCAAGCTCTTCAAGTTTGGAAAGTTGCCAAAGACTTTCAGGAAGAGTTCCAGTGAGTTTGTTCTGAGATACATCCAAGTGCTCCAAGGATGACAGTTTTCCTAAATTTGATGGAATTGAGCCAGATAGAGCATTATCATATAGCCAAAGGTATTCTAGTTTGGTACAGCTTCCTAAATTTGATGGAATTGAACCAGATAGAGCATTATCATTTAGCCAAAGTAGTTTGAGCTTGGTACAGTTGCCAACTGTGCTTGGAATTGAACCATTTAAGTGATTACCGCTTGCACCAAGTGTAATCAAGTCCTTCAATGTGAATACTTCACTTGGTAAAGAGGAGCCAAGGTTGTTATAAGACAGACGAAGATATTGAAGGTTGGAAATGTTGGCAATAGAGCTTGGGATAGAACCTCGAAAGTGATTGGAGCCAAGATTTAGTGAAATTAGGGCAGGTAAAGTGGATAATTGGCTTGGGAGGAAGGTAGCGAAGTTATTCACTGAACTCCAATTCCAAATTCCATCCAAAGAGCCTTCGAATTGATTCCCCCCAAGGTTGAGAGAAATGAGGTTGTTAAGATGAACAAGCTCATCTGGCAGTGAACCATTCAGATGGTTGAAAGAAAGATCCAAGTGCTTGAGGGCAGTCAAGTTCCACAGATCTCTGGGCAATGGGCCTTCAAACGAGTTCTCACTTAAATCAAG